TGCTGATTGATGTTTTTGGGAATGGAATTCAAACTTTGCTGTTTACAGTTAGGTAGACCATGTTTCAGAAGAGAAGGGCAGGTCGGCTGTGACACAAGAGAAAGAGAGGTCAGAGTTCACTGCTCCACTGTCACTTCCACCTGAGAGCAGCAGAAAACACACAGGTGTCTAATTAAATTAGATAAAATCATGTTCTGGGAGGAAATTACACTGCAGAATAGGCAGTAGATAAGGTGAAAACAGGGAGTGCTAATCAAAGCAGCTGAACACCGACAATCAAGCTGCAAATAAATCAATATCAAAATATGACACCGTACAGTAATTGAAAGTTTTATCACATCTGTTGGTTGTCACCTTTTTAATTAATGTTTTTACTTTTTCTACCTGACTAGCAAATGAGGAAAACACACGTTAATGTGGAATAGTTTTAAATGAGACAGGTACATTTTCCTGATGAGTGACTTGTTATGTCTGTGTGAATAATTCCTGTTGTCTCTCAGAGGCAGAGGAGGAAGGAGCAGCACTGCATCTTCAGGAGATGGTTTTCAGTACAGTGTCTTACGCTCAACATTAGTTTCTTCTCACCGTGACCAAGATGCTTCCCTACCCTTAGCAAAATAGTTTGTCTCATCAGCTAAACAGTAAACAACTAAATAGTACCTTTTAAAGTTAGAATCTTTTAAAGCTATAAGGGTTATTTTCATCAGCAAATAATCTTCTGATTATTTAGAGCAGTCTGTCTTAAATAGCAGAGAACAGTGAAAACTGTCCATCACAGTTAATGACTTTAATGGCTTTAGCAGAGTAAAATAAAAACTGGGTCTCATATGAAGTCTTAAGATTTGTAAGTTTAATTGTAAAGGGTGAAGCATTGGGAAATACTCGGAGAAGAAATTATTAAAATGGCAATGTGAGATATGATGCAAGGCACTGACAAGCAAACTTATTGGTGAGGTAGGAGGACTTGTTTAAAACCGAACCTTCTACAGAAAAAAATCCAATGTGCTCACTTAACATGAAGTTTCCTTTTTGGACAGATTTCATTATTGTTGCAGAAGATTGTGTTATGGTTTCAGTTGGTTCGTCCTGGCCGCCCGCTGCTGGTACATGAGTGGGAGTGAGAAACGCTCAGGTCCAGTTTTGTTGACCACTTTGTTTTTGTGCCTCTTCCTACAGCTCTGTTTTTCATTTTGCTCGGTTTATTCCTAAACTTTTCCTAAGCCTGAAAGGTTAGAAAGTGACTGATTACATGTGTTGAAATTTAACAACAAATCGCAAGAGGGCGTGGGGGGATTACACGGTGGATTACACACTGAAAATGGCCCAAGTCTGCTTTTCTAGCAGCAGAAATGTTCTGCTTCTAATCTGGCTGTTGTTAGAATCCTGCTGTTCTTCCACAGCAGCTCCTGAAGAAAGAAAGGGAATCCTCATTTCAGTGTTAATGAACCATAATTGTTCCAGATGGAATCCTTGAGGAGTGTTTGTAATTAAAATACATTGCATACACACACACACACACAGATACACACAGTCATCTGCCGGTGTTTCACAGTCCTCCTGAACAAAACAAACAGGCTGCAGCAGTGAGCATCTCTTCCACTTTTAGTTGCACTCTGATTACAGCTTGTTTCTCACTGCGTCTAAATCTGAATCTCTGTCTTGAGAGGTTTTCGGACTGTGGGGGTGCAGGGCATGGGAAGGGTGTGTGAGGTGAAAGGGACAGGTGTGTGTTGGTAAACAACAGTGAGTTGTTGTTGTTTATCAAGGCACTGACACTCAGCTTGTGGAACCAGTTAGGGTGCTTAACATACAAATACAGTACTGTAAATATAAATATCTATTAAAACAGGGCTCAGTTACAATGCAGCCCAGTCATGTGTCAGTCTTGTATGAGGGAGAGCTCACAGTCAGACTTTTACAACATCTGCTGTAGTGTATACTAATACTACAAAGTATACTATGTGTTGATGCAGTTATTATGCAAGAACTTGTGTTATCTGGGCGTACTGGGGATTAAACAGCCAAGCTGTGAAATTCTGCATCTACTAACATGATTGTGTTACTTTACTCCCTTTTTATGAGCAACAGTTGGAGCTGCTGCACTAAATTCTGTAGTTTGTTTTATACTTTTTATTAGCTCCAAGTAGCTCTCTTGTACCTTGGCGCTGCCCTGTTTAAGTGTGCCTCATTTTCCAAATGCAGCCCAGTCCAAACATATTGAAATCAGAACATGGCTGTTTTATTGATTAAAGGTTAAAACATTCATTTTTATTCACATTGATTGTTTGGTTTGAAACTGGATGTGTGACAGCCAACCTGAAATGTGCATAGCACTGTCTTCACAGAAACATGAGCTCTACAGAAGTTGCAGTGCAGTGGATGACTTAATAACTGTGAACTGTTTCATCAGCCTAACTCACAGTGAGCTGCACTACAGAACACTGTCCCATCTGCACTAATTGAGAGGACACAGCTTAACTGTTAGGCCAAACAAAATCCTCGGTTGTGGGATACCTCAATGCAGGAAGTGACAAATTGAATGAAGCATCTTGTCAGGAGGTAACAGGACTCACTAACATTACTTCTTTTAATCTGTGCAAATTGAAATTGCATCATCTGTAGAGAGAAGTGGCAGTGACATAATCTGTGATGCAGCCGACTGGGAGAGAAAGGGGGAAAGGGGGGGTTCACCAGGCACTGTGACGAGTTGTAGTTGCACATGGTGCCTGAGGGCTGCACGGTGTAAATGATCTTATGGTCTTATATAGCACCTTTCTATGCATTGAAGTGCAATCAAAGTGGTTTACACTCCTTCCCATTCGCCCATCCGCACACGGTGTGGGTGCAATGTGTTCAAGGACATGTGGACTGGAAAAGCCGGGAATCAACCTGCCAAACCTCCAGTTAAGAGGAGTCCCCCTCTACCTCCTAAGCCACAGCCGCCCCTGTAGCACAGAGTAAGAGTGAGCAGTGTAGAGGACGAGAAGTAAATGATTAAAAAAACACACACAATTCACAGGAGTAGAGCTCACAGCATGAACAAAAAGCATGGAAGTCTAACTAACCCCAATCATATTACAACACCTGGTCCTTGTATTTAGTCTGGTCTGACCTGAACAGAATAATCTGTTTAAAATATAACCTATTAATAATGATAAGCACTCATTGAAAAAGAAGGATTTTATTGTAAGGAGAAAAATAATGTGCTGTAACCTCTCACGGGCACCGTCTTTTCATTTGGAGTTTACTAAACCATGTTTCTCTTTTACTGTAATTCACTTGATCCAGGACAAACCAACCTCTAGACACAGTGTATATCCCTGACATTTGCCCACAGCACTTTAATCAACAGCCTTTGTGAAATCTGCAAATTTGCATTTGTTTAGACGGTACAGGTGGCCTGAGAGCGAAGCTCTTCAGAGCTGGCTCAGGATACAGTTCGACAGAGAAGCGGTCATAAATAGTGATGATGAATCATGTGTGTGTGGAAACGAGCCCGACGAAGACACATGGGCTTGTTTCCTAACAGCAGGTTTCACCTTTTCTGCTGCATGACCTTCTAAACATAAAAGGTTTCGAATTTGACATAAATTTTACAAAACGCACACTGTAGTATCCATTACCTCTCCATTAGGAGTTACAGTAGGAGGCATATGTGGCCACACTGCCTGGTGGGATCAATAAGAGGTGTTATAGCCCTCACAATGTGACACTATTGATCCTGAGACCACTCCATGACCTTGTACTGTCAACCAGCAGTACGCATGAAGGACCCTGGGAGGCAGGCAGGACTTTGAACAAGGACTTGAAACATGTAAACAAAATGTCTTTTTTAATATATGTGCCTTCGTGCTGTAAAGTAAATGTATGAGTATGTTTCTCTCTGCTCCACTCGCCATTCTCCTCCTCCTCTGCAATGACGTGTGGTTCACGTTGATTCATAATATTGGCCCACATTCACTTTGGCCTCTGGCTAATGTGTTTTTGGAGATCTCTTGACTGGAACAGCAGGTGAAATACTTGTCTGCAAAGTGAAGTCAAGGTTACCTGAACCGCCCAATTCTGATGCTCCATCTGATTCCAAATGATGATATTTTCTCTCCATTTATCTGACCAGTACACTGTATCTATTAGATATGGATCGCGTTTCAGGCTGCACTCTTAGCCATTACCTCTGCTGACTTGTCCTTTCAGAAACAGCTCAGTAATCTGCATCTTCAGAAGTAAAATAATCTGATGCTTCTGTCTCATTAAATGCTTTCCGAGAAACATTTCTCTTGAAGAGGTAAGATCTTCTGTCTTAAATGGACAAAAACCACCTTATGTCCTCTTTGTTGTGTTGTTTCTGGTCCTGCAGTTGAATTCATTTCAGCTTCATTTTCATTAGTGTTACTGCTACTTATGTGCATGTGTCATTGCATTTTGTTTATATATTATTTGTGATCATTACATACAGTGTTACTGCAGCCCTGTAACATACTTTATTTTGTTTGCATTGCTTTGAAAACCCTTTGAATCTTGTTGTGATTATGCAACATCATTTTCTTTTGTGCAACATTGTGAAGTGACTTAAGATGAATGTGATATGTCCTTTGTGCCTTTAATAAGAGGCCCTGAAACATTTTCTTTTTTGTGGAAGGCGATGCCTAAAGTCAGCTCAGAAGAATTCTTTCATTGTAGTCCAAGTCCCCATTGTTCCATATGTTTACTGTGTTCCAAACTAAGTACACCATCTCCAGCTGCATTTCAGAGATCTATCTAATGGCTGACAAAACAGAACATTTAACAATGTTGTAGAAAAACTATAAGAATGTACTATCCCATTTTCTTTCCCTTCAAAAAGTGAATTTGTGCATCTCATTCTCAGAGCAATCCTCCCATTTGTGTTACTGGTTAAAGAGTCTGTAGCTTTGTAACGTGCTGTTAAAAACACATGTCCACATCCTGTTGTGTATTTACCTATCTGCCTTTCTTCCTCTCGCCTTCTCTGTTGTTCCCAGTTGATCAAAGTATGTTTGAGAACTCCATTGCCCGGCAGCAGAGTCCACAGACCTCCAGGCCAGGCCAGTCCTCTGCTCGACGCTCCCCAGCATCGGCTCATCTTAACCTGGGGTCCAGCGCTGGTGACTCTTCTTCCTCTGGAGGCCAGCAGAGGCTGAAAAATGCCATTAACCTGGGAAAGGCTGTCGGAGCGAAGGTTGGTACAACACAAACAGAAATTAAACATTATGGTCTGCAAGTATGATTGATCAAAAACAATGCAGTCGGAATACAGTGTTATCGTTTGTGTCACATCGGTTGAGCTGAGAGGCATCCAACTGACGAGGACCCATGTATCAACTGTTTGTCTTCCTTCTTGACTTACAGGTCAATGACTTGTTACGACGAAAGGAGCCCAGCCACCTCGGGGACGTTGGGGTCACTGAGGTCAACAAAAACTTTGGTGCCGTGTGGAGCTGCATGGACCAGTTCAACCAGACCACTGTCAACAGGTGAGCACTCGTATCTCCTTTGTATTTGGGATTAAAGTATTTCTACAACTTCAGTTCACACATATTGTAGCTTCTCCTAAACTCAATCCTAACTTTTACCAAACCCAAGATCATTATAAGTTAAGCATTTACTGTCCATTAGTGCCTTTGTATTATATGTGGACATTTTTTTCCAATTTGATAAACCCACTGAAAGACATGATCTTATTGTAGGCAAGAATATTAAATTATCTGTGAAAGAAAGAGCCCATCACTGTAAATCAGGCACTGGGCCAGAAAAGGTGATTAATTTAAGGTTTTCTTGTGAAATGTGTTTTTAAATTAATGACACATCAAAGGTGTCTAAGCTTCTTATATAGTCAAAATGGAAATGCCTTTTAATTGTGTATTCATCATGTGCTTACAGACATAAGCAGTCATACAGGTTGTTTCACTGTGTCTGTATTTGCTGATTGATCTTTTGTCTCTCTAGCTGAAGCTCATTCAGGCAAACATCATTTCTCAGCAGCTCTGCTCGCATTTGTGTCCACTTACTGGACTGTGAATACATTTAGTTTAATTTACCAGAGATGATTTGGCATCTTGTGGAGTTCAGTTTGTTTTACGTAATAACTGCCTGACTCCTCGAGATGAGCTGTCTTAGAAACAGGCTGTGCCCGGGCTGAAAAGCGTGATATCTGGCCCTGCTCAGAATCCGATCCCAGAGTGTGCTATTCCATCCCCAATCCATCTACATCACTGCATACAGATTTGCAGAGAGAAAACTTTAGCAACAGGAAGTGTCTCAGCCGAAGAAAGAAGAACATGGCAGCACGTTATGAAGAAATAAAAGGAAGTCAGTGCAACAGCTATGTTTGTCAAGTCCATGTTTACTCCATTGTGCACCTACTGTTGATGTCCGTTCTATTCATGCAGAAGATGGCACCATGATGTACTCTGCAAGAGCAATACTCAGGTTGTGCAATGGAAACAATTATTGGGGCCAGGCAGCCCAGGCCAATAGCTGGCCAGCTGACCTGATTATGAGAAGGCTCCCGGTGGCAGTGGAATGGCGGCATTAGTTACTGCAAGTCATTGGTGTGCCTGTTCAAAGCTTCTGTAGCTTCACGGGCATCTTTAATAATAGATCTCAGGCTTATTCTTCACAAATTCTAGCATCCCCACCCCGACCTTTCTATCTGTGGATAATTTTTTAAGATTTTCAGATCACATGATGCTTTGGGGGATGTAAACAGCGTTACCATGGAGCCAGTTAGCTGTTTACCACAGCTTTGTAAGGGGCATCTCTGATTTCTAATCAGATTTAGTTGATTCTTGCAGGACATCAGAAAGACTGTACGTGTCACATTCAGTCTAATGACGTGTATCGTGTCTTTGTCTTAAAGTTCAGCACCTTACCTGTCTCTGGAAGCTGTGTGGCACAGCTGCTGCTACTCTGGCTGTTGACAGTGCCGATAACCAAGCCAACTACAATAACTTCCCCTTGTTTTCAGAATAGGCGCCTGTCCTTCACTCCATGCCGCCTCAGTAGTGCTTGCCTCAGGTCACCATTGTAAACCTTGGTAACATATGTTAGTACTAAAGGTCTCTGTAGTACCATGCTGGCTGGTATAAGCTTTCTCCGTCTGCCTTTTCTGGCTTTGTATCTCTCCTTCTCATGCTCCCATACTTTCCCATCCCTTCCTCTCCTCTCTTCCAGTCACATCTCCTCCTTCGACTCCTTCCCTCGGCTGGACCCACCACCCCCGTCAGGGAAGCAGCGCGAGCGCTGAAGACCACCCAGGACATGATGATCTCTTCTGACCCTGTGGTCTCCTCTCCGGACACTGCAGACTCTTCTTCCTTCCTCTCCACCCCTGAAAAAACACCCCCCATCACAACGAAGGAGCTGAGGAGCAGCGAGGAGCAGCAGCAGAGTGAGAAGGGGGAGGACAGGTCAGCGGATACCACATCGCCACTGGGCGACACAGAGAAGAAAGTTGCTGCCGAGACGACGAAGGCAGGGAGCAACGGCATGGTGGATGGAGTGAAAGATAGAGAAGAAGATGATATGGAGGACAGGAGCAGTGAAGGAGGTGCAGAGGAACATCAGGCCCAGCTCCAGCTCTCTGTACCAGACCTCATCAACAAAGACCCCCCTCTGCCAGAGTCCAGAGCCAAGCCCTGCGACATCTGGCAGAACGCGTCAGGGCCGGACTCCCGGCTCGCCTCCACTCCATGCTCAGGCAAAACGCCGTGCCGCATCAGCCTTGGGGAGGAGGTCCTGCTGGGAAATGGTGCCCCCTGCAGTAAAGGCACTGCAGTGAGCACTGAAGACGCGGAGCCTCACCCAGACCTGCTGTCCTTTGATTAACGAGCAGAACCAGAGACGTGGATCGGTTCACTCTGATTCCAAAAAGTTTGGAACACTTTCTAAATTCTACTCAACAGCCTCGAGAGGTCAATCAAACAGACTGCAATAAGTACTACCAATCAAATATTCACTTTTTAAACACATAACTTGCCCTGCTTCAGGCGTTGCTTTGGGAAAAGGGAACGAGTGCTTCAGGAGGCAGGGTAGGGGCTGCAAGGGTTGCTTTTTAACTTTTTTAGCAACTTTTTACAAGTAGGACAACTTTAAAGATATAATAATAAAGCCCGGCCCTTGACACGGCTGATCCAGGGTCAGTCAGACACGACAAGCTTCTAATGACTGAAAACAAAGTCAATCAGTAGGTACATTATTGTGCAGTGCCGGCTCAAACCCTAAGATATGATCATCTTAACACAGTGTATTTCATCTTTTAACTCTTAAAACATTTTAATAACAGTAATGTAGAATCTACCAGACAATTTAATAATGAATGTAAGTAGTGTAGTGAAATCTCCCTTTAAGTGGAAGGAAACTGATAAATCCTGTTAATGAAAACAACTTTATACTGAAATCACTTTTTCCTGTCAGTGTAAAGTATTATTAGTTTGTCTTATAGCGTTGTCTGACAGTGTTATATTGTACATCCAGCCATTCACTACAAGACCATTTTTGATCCATGTAAAGGCACGTGCCATTACATGTTAGTTATATATTCATGTTGCATAAAAGCTGCTTCTAGTGAAAACTGCAACTAATATGACAGCTAGAGTTGCTGTAAATCATCATATAATTTTCATCCTGTATACTTACAGCAGCCACTGGGATTTTTATCGGTTTATTCTAATTTTCAGTGGCAGTTGCTTGAAGTGCATTTTCAGGAGGACACAAAGTAAAGGAGAGGGAGAAGCTGAATGAATGTGGATGTGTTAGAGGAAGCAAGGTTTGGAAGGAGTTCATTTTCAGTTCAGTCAGTACAAAATGTCAAGCAGCAGTTTCTATCGGAGTCTGAGCAGGACTGGATGGTTTTCAGTCCAACTGGAGGCTGGAGTTGCAGCAGCACTGCAGCAGAACTTGTCCCCTCCTACGCTGGACATTGGCTCAGACTGTGACCCTGATATGACCTTTTTAAAGCCGGACGTCTCAGCAGGCAAGAATATTGATCATTTACCCGGTTTCCTTTTTGTATGGATTTTAAATAAGTCAGGGAGGACGACCAGGTGGTTCAGGGGGTTGGCACTCTCACCTCGCAGTGAGATGATTCTGGGTTCCGCCTGGATCCGGCGGTTGGCTGCTGACAAAACCCATCTTCCTGAATTGGCAAACCTGAAAATGAATTGTTATTACAGCCCCAAATCCTGACAGAGTGGAGCCAGGCGGGCAGATGGACAGACAGGCAGTTAAAAGCTCAGCGAGAGAAGATAATGAGCTGTCAACAGAGAGAGACGACAGAGGTGAATTTTCTTCAAGCAGATCATGAAATAACAAACCAAAGGCAGAAATGAGGTTCAAACAGGTTTGTGTCCTTATGATTTTAGAGCTCTCTGAGTGAAAAGAAAAGCAGTAATTCAAACAGAAGAGGCTCCTTTTGTTCTCACTTCATCTACTAATGAAAACCTGAAAACCAAAGTCAGTGTATGTATAACATTTTAATAGCAATTCACATACTTTTTCCAGACTTTTCTGGCTTACCAGAGAGAGACTGAGTCATGTGTTCAGCTGGTTAAAGGTGGGAATAGTACATTAGAGGATCTTCAGCTCTTCATCAGTGTGTTGCTGTAGAAGAAGCAGGACCAAGCTGCACCAGTTGTTTTAGCACAATCACAGTGGAAATATGTAGTTCCTGTAATATTATTATCAGAGAATCTTGTGTAGGTCAGTATGACTGCCGTATTGAGACACATGGAACTTTTCCCAGAAGCTAAAAATGACCAGCAGCCTCCGTGAGTGACCGCTGTGACCTCGCAGGGATTTCCTGACCTCAGAAAACTGCAACAAAGTCCCAGAAGTCAGCCAGAAGAACACAGAGGCAGCTGTGGTCAGGTTGTGCCCAGCAGATTGAGAGGAATGTGGAGCTGTTAGAGAAAGAACGCTTTGTCCTTTTCCTGTGTCTCAGACTTACAAACTACAAGGGTCCTGGACAATTCTTTCATTTTAAAGCTGCGGCAAAACAGCTCATGTCCCTCAGAGGCCACGCCATTACAGAGTTAGTTCACCCGAAATACAACTGACATGCCCCAGAGGTTTGTGTGGACGGTTTTTCATAATAACAACAAAAAAGCTTTTGCAATGGAACACCTGTGAAAACACATGCTGCTGCTAAGTTTTTCAAATGTAATTTTTCTGTTCTCTGCAGTGCAAACAACATTGTACTGGAAGTGCAGGTGTTGCATGAGATCTCGCCAGAACAAACTATTTGCATGTCTAGATAACACAGAAGTGGGGGTAGTTGTTTTTTTAGATTAGAGTTGGGTGAACTGACCCTCTAACATCAAGGGAAATAGTATATAAGAATGTGCACAGAGAGATCACAAAGAGCAAACACTTCCAACACTTGGAGCAGTAGAAATATGACCAAAATTTTATCAGTCATGCAAATTTTTTTTTGTTTTGTTTTTGTTGTCTCATAATTAATTTAATGTGGATGCCTCAAAGTCCATGAAAACCTGGTTTCTAATTCTTTTTGTATTTCTTTATAACATCAAACACTTAAAACTAAATGTGTAACAATCACAGCTGGAGTTTGGGGAATACAGCTCCCTGAACATTCAGACATTCAGCTCCTCTGCCTGATCAGCACCGTTTGGGTCTAGATCATGTTTGACTGACAGAGCTGGCAAGAGAAGGAAAGCAAAACCCAATTACAGCTTTCACCACATTTTGTTGATAGATCCTGATCGGTGACCCAGTGAGAATAGCACAGACTCGCGTCCGATCATCACGACTGTCTGATCTTTAGAAGAAAATGTTGTGTGGAACTATGTCACATACACTCAAGAAGATGAGGAAACAAAAAACTGTACCTTGTGACCTTTCTGTCATCTGATTCTCAGATTTTGGTGACACTGAGGTTGTTTTCAAGAGCCAGGTGTTGAAGCCAGTTTGTCTCTCAGCTCAGAGGGAACTGCTACACACCTGGATAAAGCAGGTGTCAGAGAGGCTTTGACCTGAACACACACACATGACCAGACTGAGATCAGCTGCTCAGATTCAGTCAGAAGGTGAAAGAAATACGACGGCAAAGGCGTCAGACTCGTCTGATGTTAAATAGATTCTTGTGTTTTCTGATGAAGGAACTATTTTGGAAGTTTTATAGAAATTTTCTGTCGCTCTTTGTCCAATGTCTGTGAATATGCAAATTGCTTTTTACTGTAACAAATGAAGGAAAATGATTTATTTTGATATTCAATTACAGAATCTAGTTATGGTGATCTTTGTTACGTAGCTGCCTCAGAATTCGATAAAAGAAAAAAAATCTCACTTTCTATTTTTTATGTTAAATCTTTTATGCTTTTGTAAAGCTGATCAAAATCATTTAAGCTGCACATGAAAAGCTTTTGGACACCAATGCACAAACGGACCACTAAAGCAAGCTGGGACTTTGAATTGATCTATCTATAAACCTTTGCAATGTAAAAGATTTTTTATGTAATGAAGATATGCTACAAAAATCTAAATGAATCAGTGATTTTGCCTTTTATTCTACTACCATATCTTTTCTTAAGGGGGAATGTAATAACTCCTATAATCTTGGAAAACATCTGGAAATAGACCTAATCATGACCTTGTTTTGTGTTGTGTTTTTAAAGATAAATGCGATTTGTTTTCTCCCTGTAGAAAAAGCCTGTCTGCATTTCTTCTGGGCATATCCTGTCTGTTATGTCTCTCCGTCTGCCTCCCACTCAGCCCTGCCAGCACACTTCCTGTTGAGATGGAGCTGATGTCCTTGTCAGTTTTAGTAGTTTTCTTCTAAGTCTATGTCGCTCTTCAGCATACGGGCTCCTGTGTGTGTGTGTGTGTGTGGGGGGGGGTTCCCTGAAAGCAGGGGGGGGACTGTGTAATCGTGAATTAAAGCCCGTCAGGAGCACAACGGAGGAAGAATCCAGGAATATGACTGTGAGATGAGGTGGTTTGTTTGCTTATCTTCCACTTCAGTGTTGTAAACATCCAATCAGCTAAGACACACAAGTCTTGTCACTGGTTAATATTTCAAACATGATGCATTTATTCATTCTCTACAAAAGGATCTAGGTCTCCATGCACAATGAGTCATCAAGTTTGGGAATGTTGTCAGGCTGATGCAGATTATTCAGCCCAACACTGTTTAAACAAGTTGATTTATTGCATGTTTTAATATGGGTTTCTTGGCTAATTTCTGGGAAGGAGTGTTCCCCAGAATCAGAAAGAGTGGTGCCGCCTTTTCAGAACAAATCACCAAAGCTTACAGTTCCCCGAACTCAGCAGAGCTTGTCACATTTGCAAAGACTGATTTAAAATGAATGGTAAAAATAAAACCAGGAGAGGTCAAGACGTCCTGACCTTTAGTCTGTAAAACTCCAGAAACATTGAAACCTACATTAAACCTAATGCAACTAGATAGCTTTTATTTTTAAACCCTTACTGAGAAGAAAATGGTCCTGTCTCAAACACTACACTTCCAGTTTGTAACTCAATCTTTCTGCTATAACATTTGTCTTCTTGACACCACCAGTGAAATCCTCAGTTTCCCCTCAGAATCCCATGATCAATTATTCAGCTGTGGTCTGTAGCATCCTGGTTAGCTGCTGTGCAGGATTATATTGTTTTAAGTGTCACTGGATGTCCTGCTGCCTCTTGTGCTCACATTTGTCTTACAGTCTTCCTAATACACATCACCCAGAACACCGCACGCACCCGTGGCTTGTCATCCTCTCACATATCTCTCTCTCAGGCCTCAGGAGAAGCCGTGTGCCTGCCAGAGCATCAGTCACTGCCAACTGGAAGAATAGAGTTCTTATCGGGTTTATTGATCAGCATGGGGAAAGATTACAGCTCTGTGTTTTTGTGTGTATGTGAGAGAGAGAACCTGAGAGGGCTCCGTTGACCTGATCAGACACTGCAGAGCCTCAAAGCAGCGTTATGCACGTAGTCAAACCAATATCGAATCATTAAAGCTGCTGCTGCCACTTACAAGCTGCATACAACACCAAGACTTTCAAAACATTCCTTTCTACTCATTACTCTACAGACTCCTCTGCCTTTATCCCATCCATCCGTCAGCCAGTGGGGCTCTGCAGCTTCTCAAAGTCCAGACACAGCCTTCTTTATGGGAGGAAGCTGCAAAACAAAGCCCCTCTAAAACAGGATGGGAGTGGCTGGGGGCACAGAAGACAAGCCGTTAACTGAGGACACATCAGCTCTGTCAGTGCAGGGAAACAGGCCACCGGGACTTTACCGCCGCAACGTTTATTTTAACAAGTAAAGGAAACCTGTCGGTGTGATTAAATTGTTTCCTGTGTTTCCAGTGCAAATCAACATCTGATTTGAAGTTGAGTTCCCACTGGGGAAAAATGACAGATTGTTTTTGTTACTTGTTTTAAAAGCCTGAGTTAGACTAAAGGTGTTGTTTTCCTTCTCCATTAGGTTGAGCTCCCTCAGGGTTAGAGTAAAACTAGGTCCCTCACAAAAAAGTGTATTTATTCATATTTGTGCAGTTTTAACTTGTCTGCTGAAATATGTGGCTTTACTTTGGTGGATCTTCTTGGAACATCCCAGTGATGTCAGTGTGCGTGTTAATTCTTACTTGTATTTGATTTTTATAGCTCTATATTTTGTGGTGTGAACGATTTGTGTTCAGTAGTGAAAATGCTGTGGCTCTGGGGATGGAGACTTGGGTCAGCTGTTGGATGGATTGATGAATCCCACTGACCTCAGTGATCCTCTGTCACCATGTGTCCCAGCATTTGTGGGTTAGGATCAAATGTCTCTACATCTACTGGATGCTATGAGCTTCAGTGAGACATTCGTGTTCCTCTGTTTATGAAGCACCATCGGCTCAAATTTTCTTCCCCCCCCCCCCTCACATCAGTCACAGCTGTGCTTTGTTTAGTATTAATGCTAACATGCTAAGATGACCAACACGATACACCTGCTAAACATCAGGTTGTTAGAACTGTCACTGTGAACATTATGAGCCTCACAGATGCACTAGCATGGCTGCAGATCAGCTAATTTTGCCTCCGTTTCTTTAAGGGCCCTTTTTTTTTTTTTATCCCTGGAGCACTTTGTAACTGCTGTTTTCAAAGGTTCTATATAAAATTAATTACTTAAGTATTTAAATATATGCTCCAGCAAAGACATTTCATAGTAGATTGAACATCAAACAGTGACTTAAAACCTCCATATGGTCACAGCAGAGTGAAATGCTGGTCCGAGGCCACTTTCTGAGCTAAATGAAGTGAAGAGGACACATTCCTCAGTCACTCTGCAGTACAATGTGCCCATTCTTCTTAACTATGATGTGGTTCCAGCACTTTTTCCCCAGGATTGTGGGAAAAAAAGTGGTATTCAGTCTTTCTGGTGTTTGTCATGCCTCTTCACCACAACCACATTACAGTATACACCACTTCCTGTAAGAGGTTGAGAGACCAGGTGTTATATCTGAAACCTTCACCTTTGTCCAGTCCTACTATGGATGGCTGACTATGATGCCAAAAAGCATTTGCCATCCAGCCTAGTATATCATACATAACTACACAGCCCCATCTAGTGGACACATGAAATCAATACACCCAAAGACCCAGAATACAAATTAATTAGCTATTGCAGTAAACTATCAGTGTGTGTTTCGTTATTTATTGAAATAACAGCTGCTCAAGAATGATGAGAAGTCTTTAAAGTGCTCAGAATAATATAAAAACACCTGGAAATGAACCACCTTGTAGCCAATGTATTTGCTTATGAAGCGCATGTGATTTGATCTAAACCAGCTCCTGCATGGACATGATCCTGTTGTCAAGAACATACTGACAACCAACCTGAACATAAGCCTAGTGGAAGAAAGGTTCAGGCCCTAAAATTACCGATACAACAATGTCAAATTACACCATTACATGTTAAAATCCTTTATTCAAAAGCTGACATTTTTAGTACACAGGTACTGTCAGGAAAATGTGCTTGTACATGCTCTATTGTAAAATGTTCTGTGTGACTGGGAGCTTATTGTATCTGACATTATTATACTGATGTAACAGGGTGTAAGCAGAACTTGACAGTTGTAGCTGCTCAAAGTTCCACACCTCTACTTGATTTGACCTCTTTGGGCTTCAAAATGTGACAAGCAGCCCCATTAGGATGCTGCTTTATTTGTGAGGAGTCATGACATGAATGGCTGGTTTCATCTGGACAATATATTGTGTTTAATGAGATTATCACATTTTTACTGCAAAATCTTAATCTGACAAATAAATATAGCTACAGTTGAAAAGTAGTTTTCCCACTGAAAGGCGATGCGGGAGGAATATTAAATAACACCAACATCTGATTTACTACCACTCCGTGATACTACATACGGTACATAAACAGCCAAATCATGCTGCTGTTTGCCACAAAGTCACTGTGATTGTGTAATTTACCAGCAGGTGGCAGTCCAACTCAAACCTAACTCTATCTCCTCCTCTTTTCCATTCAGGGCCAGTTTCCTGTTCCTGCAGGTGCAGCGCTCCGCCCCCAGGGCGCCACCTGGCCGGTAACTAAAGCTGGCAGCCGCGGTTATTTGGTGATTTTAGTTCCAGATTTGAGGATTTCCATCGTAACACATGACATATTTCAAAGCATTTTGGGTCAGTAACATGCAGCCGAGTCGTGTTTGTTGAGTTTTGTGCTGCAGTTCACCGCCTCCAGGTGTTCGAGAGTGATGCCAGGGATCATGCAGGTAATTAATTTATTCAATTCACTGTAAGTCAGTAATTTTAGGTTTTTTCTCATATTTGTCGAAGCGTCTGGAATGTGGTTTTACTAAATTTACCCGCTTACCAAAGTCTGTTGTTGCAGGAGTTTAAAACCCAATAACCGAACGTCACCTCCCACTTTAGTACCTTAATATCGACTGTAATGACGTCATGGATTGATTGTGGGAAAATACTCGGTACTACACAGTGGTGATGCAACACTACCAATAGTGTGCAGTGATGCAACACTACCAATGTACCAATGGTGTGCAGTGATGCAACACTGCAGCTGCCCACTTTAGGAAGTGATCCATGAATTTATTTTTTATAGTTTGGGAAAACTACTAGTATATGTCCACGTCTGTCCAGAACAGTCATAAACTTCTTTATTTGACGTAAAACTGAATTACCTGTAAAAAGAGAGCTGCAAACTGTTGTGCAGTGTCTACTCATAATCGTCTAATTTGTATTTGCCTCTTGTAAGGAGGAAGAAGAATGCTGTTAGAAGAATTAACAGAACAGAACTGTACTGTATTTACAGTCAGGTCGGTAATTATTTGGACAAGGACAGTTTTTGTAGTTTTGCTTCTGTAGGCCACCTCAGTGGATTTGAATTGAAGCAGTCAATATGTGTAGACATTCGTTAAATTCAAGGGGTTTAACAAAATATCACTAAGTGTTTTGGAATTATAGTCATCTATATTCAGAGGCTCAGAAATAAACTAACATAAAAATTATTCTATTTAATAACTGGATGCAAATCCTTTGCAGTCAGTGACTGCCTGAAGTCTGAAGCTGGTTTGGCCCCCTTTATCTTACAGAATTGCTACATCCCTATAGCCCCTCTCGTGCATCAGATCAGCTGATCAGCTGCTCTTGGAGGTACCGAGGGTTAGGCAGAGATCTAGGGGGGGACAGAGCTTTTTCTGTGGGGGCTCCTAAGTTGTGGAATGCATTGCCCCTTTATATTAGACAGGCCCCCTTGTTGTCCACTTTTAAAACTTATTTGAAGACTCATCTGTACCGTCTGGCGTTCGAACCAGTATGATCCTGTGTCTTGTTGAGCTTGTGATTTATGACGGGGGGGTTGTTTTAAGTATGGTGTTTTTGTTTTCCTGTTCGTTTATGTTGTTTTTTAAGGGGTGTTGTGGATATTGTGTTAAGCACTTTGGTCAGCTTCAGCTGTGTTAAATGTGCTATATAAATAAAGTTAATGATGATGATGATGATGATGGAACCCATGGAAACAAATTCAACATGTGGAATCAACTCCACACTGTTTATCTGCTATGTTTGTCTTGAAATAACAGTTGTCAGTTGTCCCATTACTTTTGAGCCTCTGAAAATGGATGACAATGTATAAAAATGGCTGTAATTCCTGAACAGTTAATGCAATATTTTTGTGAAACTCCTTGAATTGAAGCTGAAAGTCTACACTTCAGTAATATGTTGACGGCTTCATTTCAAATCCACTGATGTGGTGTACAGAGGCAAAATTACAAAAATTGTGTCATTGTGCTTCAAGAGGTTTGTGACGTTTTGTCAGTCGGAAGTCCCCAGATTTCTAAATTGGATGTTTGCAATGCAACATTAGCAGGCCCCATAATCAGAATGGGCAAAATTTAGAGGATAGTTCCCAGTTTGAAAAATACCAGAACTTGTATTTAGTTAAGCTGAGAAGAAGCAATGTTGCATGCAAACTTTGTTTACTAATAAATGTAGAAATTCTCTCAGTAAACCACCTTTTGGTAAGATTACAGTAAAACATATGATTTAAATGATTTCCTGAATGACAGAATCAAAACACTAATAAGGATGTTTGTGTTGTTTCACCATGTGTCAGATAATTATTGATCTGATTCCATTTTCTCCTCGGCTGGTTGCAGTTCCTCCAGCTCGGTGTCCTGCAGGATGGAGGTGTTCCTGACCCAGGATGCAGGACTGTGCTGCTTCTGCACAGTGATACCCAGAGGAGTCCAGCTTCTGCACTGGGTGGAGACCACCTTCATCCAGCACCTCCACCCTGGAAAATGGCTCAAAGCCAAGTCTACCATCACTTTCTGCACCATGAGATAACAGAGCACATGCACCAAAACAGCAGGTCAGTGATTTTGTTTTTTAATGTTATTTAGAGAAATGACTCTGGTACCAACTAGAGCCTGACTAATACAACGGCCACTAATCAGACTTATTGTGTAACAGTGTGTTCTGTCTAGAAGTGAACAATGAATCTGGCGTACTCATTGTCATGTGTGTGAATCCAGATTAATCCATCTTACAGGTCTCTGCCATAGACCTCTGTTCAAAAACTATTAAAACCCAGCAGCGAGCCGCACGTTTGTACTCATTGTCATGTGTGTGAATCTAGATTAATCCATCTTACTGGTCTCTGCCATAGACCTCTCTTCAAAAACGATTAAAACCCAGCAGCGAGCCGCACGTTGGGTGGCTTGTTTCTTACTCAGGAAGAAATGTTTTTATTACAGAAAACAGCTCCAAACGTTAAGAACAGATATCACTTGTACACTCTGACTTGACTCTAATTTCAGGGACTGTAAAAAGTAGTGGATTCACAGACAGTTATCAGACTTATTGCAAATACACAAAATTGTTGGTTTCTGTATGGGAAGACAGAAAATCACCAGCCTTTATGAAATATAGTGTAGTTTTGTCTGAACTTTACATGTCTACTCTGTGTTTTTATTATACTTTTTACTAGTGTCAAACCTCCATAAGTCAGGCTCTAGTATTCAGTGTCTTCCTTCACTGAAAGCTTGTTAGATATACTGTACATTACCAGCATGTTACACTGTCACTGTGTAACACTTGATACCTCAGTGAGCTGTGAGCTTTAGGCCTGGATCAGACTACATGATCAGCCCATCTGACAGATGTCAGTAAACTGAGCATCTAGGACACTTGGGTGTAAATATTCCTGACCCCTGAAGTCTCATTCACAATCTTTTGGCTTCGCATCGGACAACATGCAAACTACTGGCCAAGGAGAGAACTGCAGACTGACACTGACCAGCTCAAAAAGATCATGTAGCCTGATCCCTGCATTAACTGTAGCTATAATGGGTCATTTCACCCACATTTTGTGTTTGTGGTGCTCCCATCAGCAGTTTATACATAGGAACTGTTCTTTGGTAGAAAACAGATTATCCAGAGTAACCAGGCCATTGTTTTTGGAAAGCAGTGCTACTACATTTTTTTAGACATGCTTTGATGCCACAAATACAATTCCTTTCAGCTCCATTGTGCTAGGGAGTGGAAGCAGAAAACTATATGCATGGCTAGATGCGGAAGGAGGTAAGTGAGGAAACAGTGCATAGAAGCTGGGGCAACAACTCCAGAGTGACAAGATTCAGTGCAAGAGTTGATTTTTATTATTCTCCTTAACCTTCGACAGTTGACAATAAAAACAGGCGTGACAACAGAAGACGGCGTCCTGGGATCAGATCTTGTTGAAAGCTGCTACATCAACACTCTGGACCTGCAATGGAGCAAAAAGGTGACATTTTAATGAGTTTACAGGCTCTGGAAACAGATTAAATTTAACTGCCACACTTTGGAAACTACTTTCATTAATGCCTGCTAGGTTGACAGTTTATTAGACAAACTATGGAAGTAAAGCCCCACCAAAGTTTGATGGCACGATAACCACATTTCTAGCACTACTTACTTTGCAACTCAGCATTTGAGAGCACGGCCCTGATTTGTAAGAGTGCGTGCACTCGTTTGAGTCTGTGTTCTCAAGTTTCTCCACTGGGGTTTGTGTGAAAGTCTGTCTGCGCCACAGGTTTTGAAAGTGCACAAAAGATTTTCGTGTGTTATTCGGTTTGCAAATCAAAATGTGAGTGTGCAGGCACAGATTTCTAAGAGCAGAATCACAAGAGCAAGGAAGGCTGTTCTCAGATCTGTTTACTCTTACAAATCTGCACACACACACATTCTGATTTGCAAACTAAATAGCACCTACAATATTTTTGTGCCCTTTCAAAACTTTTGGCACAGACAGACCTTCACCAAACCCCAGTGGAGAAACTTGAGAACACAGACTCAGAAACAAGTGCATTCACACTCTCAAATGCTGAGCTGTGCTTGAAATGTGGTTCTTGCCCTTTCAAACATTTTGGCAGGGATTTAGTTCCATAGTACAGCTAGCCTCGCTAAACCAATACAACAATCCTACCTTGAAGCAAGATTGTACTGTATTATGGTGGTGTGTTTCTAATAGTCCAGTGGCACCGATATATGATAAACTAAATATCAAACACACCTCTCAGTAGGATGTTTGGCTGGACTAGTCTGCATTAGTTTCAGCTGTGTACATAATAAACCAGCAGCACCAAGATCTAAAAGTGGCTGACGGCACATCACTTCTGTTTCATGGACTAATGCACAATTGATACAAGAAGTGGAATAATTTAGAATTTGCTTGAAAACATTTGTAGATTTCTTTAATTGTAATTAAGTGATAGTTCTCGTAACATCCAGTAGTACAAAAATCAACTTAACTGCTAATTTGGTGTACTCAGTGTTACAAAATGTAAACGAATACATACTAATAAAAGCAAGGCTCCAATTGCAACCCATGGTGCAACTTACTGGATCTATGGCAACATTATACTTCCTGTTCTTTGTAAAAGATTTACAAGATGCGGAGATCTGGATCTCTGGTTATCAATCATCGTTATTTGAAAATAAGCATTATTGCGTTACTTGATTTAGTGGTCCGTCCAATACCAGTGCTTAAACAATGAGCTTAATCATCAATATAACGTTTTTTTAAACAGTATTTTAGATAATGTCACGATGTTTCACTCAAAGACTGATATAAATTTACAAGAAATGAGAAATATGTTGCCATGGATACTGTGAATTATACTGTGGGCTGCAAATGGAGCCCTGTGTGATTTTTTTTTTTTTTTTTTTGTAGGTCTGTGTTTTGGAACAGCAAGTACAACAGATTGGCTAGTAACACTTCAAATACTGAAGATATCCAAAAAAAACCTGCTTATTCTCAGTCAAGTTCTAAAGCATTGCAGTTCCTGTGCCATTAAGTGTACATTATGTCATAGTTACGAGGTGAGGTGCATTGTCTTTTGTGAATGCAATGTGCTTCCATTAACGTACCATTCCTTGACATTAGTCACTGATTAAAACTGGTATGCTGCTCTTGTGGTTCAGTGATTGTGAGAAGACACCAGCACTTCTCTCTAATGAATATGCAAGCCTGCTGAAAAAGCTACACTGTTGTAAATCTTTTAATAAACACTCTCTTGCACAATTCGACATACCAAAATAATGCAAATGTAATAGTTTGACTGGGTTGCTCTATTTCTATTGTGGATTGGTTGGACTGGCTAGGGTGGCTAGGCTAACAGGTTACCTGAGGCCAGGTCTAGTGTTTGCTTTGTTTACATTGTTAAACATCTGAAATGTGCCAGTGTCACAACAGCATCGCACATAATCTACTAGTTAAGAACAAATAAGTTCATGTTCATTAAAAGACGTGTTATGATTGTCAAAGACAACAAGCACAGCAAATCACTTTTTATCAAACTTGCAGATTCATTAGGGGAGAGGTACAGTGGGGCAGTCGTATACTGGTTACTATTGGGCCACATGGAATACCAGTTTTGATCAGTGATGATAGGAAATGCTATTTCAGTTAAAGAGTGCCATATGCTGCCAGGGGATTAGTACATGCCATCAGCCACTTTCTGATTTTAGTGTCTAGTGGTCTGTTAATCTGCATGACCTTTACAAAGACACGTAAATGCGCTGCACAGTACTTACACAGTCTTCAAACTTGGTGATCTCCTCCTCCAACATGTCTGTTCCCACTTTGTCATCCTCCACCACACACGCAATCTGGAGCTTCTTGATACCGTAACCCACAGGAACCAGTTTGGATGTGCCCCATAACAGGCCGTCAGCCTGAATCGAGCGCACACACTCCTCCAGCTTCACCATGTCTGTTTCATCATCCCACTAAACGCAGGACGGGAGAGATGATGGGGAAAAAGGGTCACAGCATCAGTCAGTAGCAAACACACACAAATTTATTAGACCCGTTTTTAGGCTCCTGAGGAAGACGTACTGAATTTTGAGTGAATCATAACCAAACACACACTTACAGGTTTGACATCCAATAAAATAGAGGACTTGGCGATGATGGCGGGCTTCTTTGCCTTCTTCTCTGCATACTCTTTCAATCTCTGCTCTTTGAGTTTCTCTGCCTCTTCATCTTCATCTTCATCACTGTCAAACAGGTCAATATCATCATTCTCCTCCTCCTCCTCCTCCTCCTCCTCCTCCTCCTCTTTGACTGGGACACTGGTCTTCTGCTGGACTTTAGTGCCCTGAACAGAGAAATGCTGATTACTCTAATGGACATAAATAGTGACTTGCTGCTGCTAAAATAAAGATGCAAAGTATTCCTGAACTGATAAAACATTTCTGTGGGAACTGACATTCATGCAGGGGACTGAAGGAGCAGGAGCCGGAGCAGGAGCCTTCTCCAGAACTGCCACTCGACATTCCAGTTTGGAAAGTGCTGCCCTCAAGTCATCCACCACTAGATAAACAAGACTAGAGTCAGTGAGTCTCAACACTCCACAATGAAAATAAACAAAGGTAGTTAACAGGTGCTGAAACAATATGGAGCAAGTCATATATAAATCCAACTCCATCAAGCCATCTACAGCTTCATACTTTTTAATGTCCATTTATCTTTCACTAGCCAATTGTTTTTTTCACACTCCCTCATTTGCTAGGCGTGTTGCACTTCAATTACAACATTGTTTTGCTCAGTGAGATGGATGTATTCCAGACTATGTTTCTGGACTATTTTAAATAGTCAATATGTACCGATGTACGTTGTTTTAGTTTTGACTTGTCTGATAATCTATTTAACCTTTGTCAGTTAAAAATAAACTGCACTGAAACACAGAAGCAAGATGGTAGTACATAATAAACATCTGCTACTGAAGCAATGTCAGTTGTTTGATTAGAGTAAATGATACAGTGAAAACTAAATGACAGTTTAGATCATTGATTAATCCTGGGAAGAATCACTTTTTTCTAGTTCATAGTTTTAAATGACTGCAGACATGCTGCTCTCTTCAGTCTCTTACAGACAGGTGCATTAGTTCACAAACTCTTCCAAGCAATTTTAGGTCAAATGTCTTTTGTTTTGTCCAATGGTCATAAAATAAATGTAAGGTGATAATCATGTGTCATTCTTTACATGGACAGACCAGTTACTGTAATGCAAGAGCAATTAATGGAGGAGGTTACCAAGAAATTATGCAAGATAGTTTATCTTTTAACACATCTGTCATTTAGTCTATAAAATATCAGTAAACAAGGACAAACTGCCATCACATGTTTCCAGAGCTAGAGAGGCCATCTTGAAATGACTTGTTTTGTCTGAGCTTAAAAAAAAAACAAAACTTTGAGTTAAAGAAAAGCTCATATCGGTGAAGCTGGAATCCACAAATGTTTGATATTGTTTCTATGTAATTTGAAGTGTCAGCACTTGTATTTGATAATTACAAATTGCTAGTGGCAGGTTTAATATCTCCATAGTGTTTAAGGATGCTAAAATTGTCTAAAGACACCAAAATGCTTTCATATTTGATCAAGGTCGACACATACACACCTTTATGTAAGCTCTGGTTCTCCAGCTCCAGGCTCTTGATGCGAGAGACGAGTTCTCCTTGATCAGCCACACTGCCACCGCTGCTGCTCTGCACAAAAAATGACAAACAGTTTGGTGAGAGTGGCATCTAATGGACAAATTTAAGAATTAGTATCTTTGTCAAACCAAGGACTGTTACACACACCCCATATGTAAACACACAACACACAGCCAGTGTCCATCTCAGCAGCAATTACAGCCAAGTAGCAGCAGAAATGCAGGAGCTGTAGATGGACCCTGATAGAAATGTACAAGATGCATGGCTACTCAGACGGGTCTGCAACACGCCACACAGACGTAATAACTGATTGAAGGTTAAACTCTAATAATCTCAAACTCCAGTGTGGATGTCAGTAAGTTTCACTGATAGTGACTGGTGGCAGAGGTGCTTCAGTGACACACAACACTTGGTGGCACTTACAAGCTCGGACTGCCGGCTCACGGAAGGTTGACCAGACCCTCTTTTAGACAGTGTAGTCTTCAGCTGGGTGGAGGTGAGGATTTCAGGTATGAACCAGGAGAAATTAGGGAAAGGGAAGGAGGAACAAGACTGAATGAAGTAGTTACTGAAGAAGTGCTACCGCGGAGACACGGACTACAGAGAGCAAACAGGGCAGCCACAGAAACACTAGAGCTTGAAGGTATCCGATGAAGACAGACATTTCCACACACAACTTTCGCCTACATCTCCGCAGTGCGCAGCTTGTGTTGCTACAGCTGACTGCCAAACTTAGTTAACCTCGAGTAAACTAATTATTTTAACTTGCCTACAACACTGTAATGACATCACTGAAAAACAAGATCGTATCTGTCAAACATCTCTAAAGTGTGTAACCATCAATTACACAAATGCTCTTATTACCACCAGCTATGAAAATGAACAACATAACCTGTAACAGTGACATGTGGCACTATATGCATTTTCTTGGCTTCAGAGTATTAATGGAGTCCACACATCATAAGATGGTAGTGGGTTACCAAATGTGGCCCCACAGACATGAGTATGTATGGCTGAAGGTTTGTTCACATTATGGGATAAGGTATGAAACTCGCTGTGCCCTCTCCCACCCCGACAGAATAAGCTATTTGACAATGTCAGGATGAGACTTTAGACATACAGTACAAAACCTGATTTAAGGCACTGGGATAGTAACCTGTCAAAATGTTACTATTTTGTGGTGATGAAATTATACCAAGCCTCTGGTAATTAAAGGGACAGCACATTACACACCGTTTTCAGCTGATACTGAAATGACCAGCAGGGCAGTTTAGAGGATTTTTTTTTTTAATCCCGTTTCATGAGATCCAATTGTTCCGTCACACGATAGTGAAACAGTGAAAGCAGGTTTTTCTAATGGTTCAAGTCATTACCAATCAATATGTCAGTATCATATTAATGACCATGAAGTGGTGAGCAAAATCTGATTCCATCATTGCACAGAAGCAAAATGTAAAGATTCAGTCTCTCGTTACGGTTACTCTGGTTTTTGGTTGCACTTCATGCAGACCTATCTGAGCTAATATAATCCTTATGGAACTGAACCAGTTCTGGATCCTGGACATTTTCAGGCAATGTGCTACACCTTAAGTGGGCGCTTCATGACTCAAGTGACACATACTTGTGAACATGTGAGCTAATATGTAGATACAGCAGTGGCACAAAGCCTGTACAATGATACTTACTCCTGCTAGAGATTTCTGGATGTTCTCCCGAGCCCGAGCAATGTCCTGTAGAATACTGGTTGCTCCAACAGGCTTGAGGAAAATGAACAGAGGTAAAGACATTTTCAGGGAGACTCGTATCAAGATGCATCACAGTCTAATATGCTGTTTTTCTTTGTGCGTTTAGTAGAGTAACACTAATTCAATCTTATTAAACTGACTGATGTCATTTAATGTCCCTGCTTGTTGCATACTTTAATGGGTTAATCATCAGTACAATATACTGTCGAGCAGTATTTCAGAGGGAAGGAGTGACAACTTAGCAGATAAACTCTTAGCACAGGTACCTGTGTTGGTTGTGAGGGCCCATTCATACGTTCATAAAAGCATCTTTCCGCCTCATCGTAGCGAGGTTTGTCAAACCAGATCTTCTCCTGGGCCAGAAACTCGACTGTGCTCATGGTGCTGTAGAGAAGAATGTGAGGAGGGACAAGAGAGGGATATATAAACAGAACATAGGTCAGGGAAAACAATTTTTAAAGCTCTTTCTAATTTTAAATAAAACTATTCTTAAATTGTTCATCTGAAAAATTATTTGTATTCTTTTATCTACACCCAACAAACAGAACATCCTAATACAACTATAGGGGAAAAAAAACTTCAAGTTAACATACAGAAATGGTTCATACAAACAAGTCATTCAGGAAAATTAAAAACAAACCATGTAATAAGAAACAAATGCAAACAAAAAGAAAAACAACAAAAAAAAAATTAACAAGGGAAAGAACCACTTTCACGCATGTAAAAATAAGGGAAACAAATGATGTAAAGAAAAATGATGAAAGATGAACAAATATCTAGAGGTGCTCCACTCTCCCAGTTCAGTCATACTTGTCCCTCAGAGGGGTGGTGGAGACAACTGGTGATGCATCTGCTTTTGGCCTCGGACTCTTCTTTACCAACACGGCTTTAGCCCCACTGTAACCATGGAAACGCCTCTCTGAAGCATCATACTGCCACTTGTCTAACCACACCCGCTCACTGTCTGGGTGTAGGAAGTAGCAGACTCCTGCCCCCGATACGTCTTCCTTCTCTGGTACCTCAGCTGGTTCCTCTTCTTCTTCTTGAATTGGGTGCAGAGCATGAAAGACTTCTGCTTTACCATGCTGAGCCACCCGTTTTTCTTCCACCACCATCTCCTCCTCCTCTTCCTCCTCCTCCTCCTCCTCTTCTACAAGGCTTTGAGGGTGATCGGTGGTTCTGGAGGTGGAGGAGCAGCCGGGCCGCTTAGAGGAATTGTTGCTGTATAGATTCTGGTAAAAGGCTGCTTCAGCACGGTCATACAGTGGTTTCTCCAGCCACACATCTCTAAGCAGCTCCACTGGGATGCGAGGCAGCCCATTAATCGACTGTCGATTGGTTGGCGTGACAGCAGCTTGTTTGACGACAGGTGTCGCAGGAGTCGGAAGTAAGGACTGATAACCTTCATCAGGTGTTCTGGGTGTGTTGCTGCAGTTAGGCAGACACAGAAGGTCCAGAGAATCTGGAACAGATGGCTGCATGGCTTCATCAACAAAGCAGCATTCTGCTTGGTCAAAGGACGACTTGTTTACCCACACTGCCTGTACCACATGATGACAAGCCACCTGGTCGCCATGGTGGCATGCCAGTCCTGAGGAAGATGGAGTGACAGTTGATGGAAAGTTTGGAGGTGACTCTTTTGGTTGGGTAGTCTCACTGGAGGAGCTCACCAGCCAGCACTGGTAGAGGCTCTCGGCTCGCTCGTAGATGCTGCGTTCAAACCACACATTAGCACACTCAGACTGCAGGCCAGTCAGACCAACACAGGGTTCAGGAAGCTGACTGGCCTTTTTGTTTGGCCCCTCTTCATTCTTGTTATTACAATCAACCTCCCCCTCAACATTCCCTTCGGGGCAACTCTCAGGATTAGATGAACGTTTTGTACGCCAGCGGCTTTTCCTGCTTCGCTTTCGATCTCCATTCAAGCTGCCACTCTCTGGGGACGATGATGCCGTGTCACCATTTCTCTGACTAGATTGAGTCTTGTTCCTACACCCCAGTGCTATGTTTGCAGACTGGTTCACTTGACAGTGACTGGGAGGCTGATCATGGTCTGACTGATCTGCTGCAGAGCACGGAGGGATCTTCTTAGACATCATCTTTGATCCGTTGCAGGAAAGAGAGAGAATAACAGGTACAAGCTTTTGGATTAGTGAGACATAGGAGACACAAGGGGCTTGATCTACTCAGTACTACAACTGAATCTGTCAGAAACTAACTTTTGTTTTTAAATAGACTTTTGTGATTATACACTATAAAACAGTATACAAATCAGTCCCAGGAAAAAGCTAAGTGTGCAGGATATTAAAAGAAACACATGCAGATGAACTAAAATAATTAGCGTATGAAATATACTTGTTATACACCAAGAGTCTGTTATCACGCACTTAAGTCATGCACAGCAGACATTGAATTAGTCAAACAAGTTCATACTAGCAATAGCTTCGTTTCTAGAACTTGCATCTGTTATCTTTAATTCTAGCCTTCAGAATTACTAGTCTAAATGGCAAATTGTATAGGCAGCAACCCAAGTGTAAAATGCCAGCCCTGAGTTGCACTTTCCCTGTTACACAATTTGCTTCTAAAACCAAGTAGAAGATTGTCAAATTCTTTAAAGATATGATATGGGTTATCTTTTTATAGAGCTTAAAATGTCCTTGTCAACAGTGTTCAACACTCATCCAACAAATTTAGTCACACAAGAAAATACATTTGTCTTTTATGAGTTTTTATACTTAAGAAATTTGCATATTATTTTTCTGCAGTGCCTTTTTAACAGAACACTAACACAGTAGCATATTGTTATTATGCTCATCTTGCAAAGAATCAAAAGTATAATGCATGGATGCCTGCCCTGTGTAATGTGAACAGCATGTCTGGTTTGTCGGTATTTTCATAACATGCATTTTGACACAATGACATGAAAGCATGCTAAGAAAGAAAAAGGTGTAACAAAGCCTAAAAGGCAAAACATTAAAGAGGTACTGAAAATAAAATAAGCTGATGTTGATAGGTCTTTGAAAAACACTGATATGCTCATGCATGTAAACTAATTCATATTAATAGAGCTTTTCTATGCTAACAAATCATACAGAGCAAGTCATACAACTTTAATAAGGTTGCATTATCTGGCTGCAATACAGGAAATGCATGCAGGTTAGTAATACTGCTCCAAATGTGACAGGCTGCTGAAATGGAACTGGACACCATTTTGGGAAGTAATTTCTCAGGTAATGCTACTTTTACAAAAAGCATATTCAAGCTTCTAACTCACCTTCTTGGTGTTGAGCTCAAACTAGTATTAAAGTCTTTTCATCCAGTTAACCGCAAGCATTGGAAAAGAAATATAACAATCACCACCTTGCAAAAAGCTGAAATGGAGACACAACTACTGTATGTACAAAAGTATCACAAACCAGGGTACATGTTAATGTCTTAACACTCACCTGTCAAATTCTGAATGCAAGATGAGAAGAAAGAGGCTAGAATTAAATATTTCTGTAAAACAATACCTGACAATGAAATCTCACAGGAACATATCATTAAAATGTTCAGTACCGTCGAAATGTTTTTATGTTGTTTGTGTGGCCCCTTAGGAGGAAACTGTAATCAGTGCTTTTAAAGACCTGTAAATACCCAATTCACTGAGAGAACAGTGATTTTTTTTAAACGATTTTATTTTTGAGAACAACGCAGCAAATTCAAAATGGTCAGAATGTGTGTCATTAAACAGTCTGTCGACCAAGCTGTTTGCAAGTAAAAGAAAAGCAGCTCAAAGCCTCAGCAGAGTCGTCATCGTCAAAAAGATGTTCCCTGCTAACCTGAACGTTAGCGTTAGCCGCTTCTCCACCCTCTAGGTCCTAGCAAGGACGAATGCTGTTCGTAGGTGGTTAGCATTTCACGGCACACCAAAAGTAACGCTGTTTTTTTAGACCTAACACTAGCCCATCGATCTTTCATTTTAGCAAAATGAAACTGTCACAGCTGGACAATGAAGCCGGTGTCCACCCGGCGTCACAGTCTCTCCGGGGGCGTTAGCACTAGCACTATCAAGCTGCCCCAAACAGCTAGTTAGCTAGCCGTTTGCTAGCCCCGGCTAACACGCTGCTGCCCTTAAAACGCTGAACATCACACATATTTTAACATAACCCCAACATTAATTCCCGGACTGAAACTCTGGCTGTCAGAGTTAATGCTACTTACTGCTGTAGTGTCTGTTTCGTGTGTGTAGCAGCAGACCACTGGACAAAACGTGTTTCTACAAGCGTGTCACAGCGCGTAGCAGGAAGAGAAGGGGGGTGGGGTATGGGGAATTATGAATCATTAATGTTAATTATGCTCCATTGTTGATCTTCTGTGCCCCACTAAAATCACACTTTCGAACTTTAACATGCACCTGTATTTCACAATTGATTAATTTAGGCTAATAATAACGTCAAAAGAAATTATTTGTTGTTGTCAAAGCAAAATACAAGCTGGGGCATAAGTCGGTCCAGATTCATACATCACGGTGTGCGTTGTAGCTGATGCACTGCAGCGCGCCGCGCACGCAATAACACGAGTTCTCCCAGGTTCAGGTAGGAGAGGCGGTTATTTAAAAATACAGTTTTAAGCGGTGGAATGACCTTTAGTTTAACGGAGGTGTTGAAAAAAAAGTTCAGGGGATATAGGATACAGAGCAAGGACTGAAACACCACCCAGGGGGATAAATACCTCCTGCTCACCACCAGTCGGACAGAACTGATGAAGCCTCTTGGATGAGAGGTGAAACGTCTTCTACCTAAAACTACGTCCAGATGATTTCTTCTACATTTTTTCAGCATACTATGACCTGCATGACTGAGAATTTGCAAGACAATGTCATGAATTATAGGAAATGAAAAGTGGTCCTCTAATTGCTTTTGGAGAAGCAACCATTATTCAGTTTATTCTGTATCTTTCTCTGTGTGACTAGATTTTTTTATGAGAACTGTGCAAAATTAATAGTTACATTTAAAGACACAAGTTAAACTTGATTTAATAATACTAGCTATCCTTGTAGCTGACAATTTTATCATCCTCTAGGGGCCACAAATTTCTGTATAAAATTTCATGGGAATACATCCAGTAGTTGTTGAGATATTTCAGTGTAAACAAAAGCGGCGGATCACCCAGCAGACTGACATTACCAACCCTAGAGCCACGCCATTAACATTATCAGGTGGAACTGCACTGATTGTCAAATTGATCTCTCATCATTTCCTCTGGTTCTGTTCATTTCCTGTCTCCTGTCATCTTCAGTAAGTCACTAAGGGACTTCACGCTCCAATGGACCACAGGCTGACACTGAGTCTAAACATCCCAAAAGAAGAAGCCCGAGAAACAAGTTCTCATCATATGCCGCCTCCTGGTGGCATGGTTGTTGGGGTGTGGTGTTACGCATCCCTGTTTGCTGCAGGGCACAGTGGGGACATTACAGTCCTCAATCTTACAGCACCACCTGTTGCTTCGACTGGCAAACAAAACAAAGGATAAGTAAAAGGTTATGTAGAATTATTTTAAAGAAGATGAAAATATTGTTTTGGTCCCTCCTGTGATAGCAGCATATTATTGTGTAATCTATTAAGTTTTGCTTAGGTTTCATCTCAGACAGGACAGGTGTTGCTGTTGTCTATATACTGACACCCAGTGGAGAAGATGCTACAGTGATACTGCACCATAATGATGCACCTGCTGGAGGTTATGTTACAGCCTTATCTGATCTTGCCTTGTACAGCACACACCAAAATAGTAACAATTAGTTCTCCTAAATTTAATTCTGCTTTCCCTTTTGTGGCTTCATGTATGCATAGACAGAAAAGCATACAGTATGTCTTAATATTCTTAAAATAAATTCTGGTGCAGTCTTTATTACTGAAGAAATAAAAATATTCACAATTAGTTGTGCTCAGATTGATTTGAAATCCTTTCCAGTGTTCCCAGTGCTCTCCAGTGTTTTCAGACATCATTAAAGACATCTTTCCACTGCCTGAGTTCATTTAACTCAGAGTTAAGCTTGTGCATGAGGACTATAACAAGCCACCATCAATGGAGCTTTGATACTAACATTCATCAATGTAACAGGTAAATAAAGAGCAGAGCCACCCTGTTAATCCAGCAGCAGGTAAAGAGCCTGAACTGAAGTGAAGAAAAGATCAGTAAGTCACTCATTCGTTTGTTTAGCAGACTTGGATTTCTTTAATAGATTGTAAAGGTCTGGAATCCAACTGTTTGTTACATTCATAAGCTCCTTGTTTATTTGGTTGATAAAGTGACCAAACACCTTTCAAAAATCTTGCTGGTTAATTTTGCTTTTGAGAACAAACATTCAATATACTGTAGAACTCAAGACGCACCAACTTCTTAAATGTAACCTCTTCTAGTAAAGTTGCAGCAGTAATGCATTAAGTTGGATTTACTGCAATAAACACTTAAAATTAGGCTTCTGCTTGCTGTCATTCCACTTCTTTGGCCATGTGGAACATTAATGACATATACAAAGTCCCCAAACCCCTTCAAAAATCTGGTAGTGTATCTCAAACAAACATGCCTCATGAAACTAAACCATTCTTTAATGTTGACTTCTCCTGGTAAATTTGCCTTAAGTAGAAATAGTGTTAAATATCATTTTAACATTAGGTTCTTGCTGCTATACTTGTATTTCCATAAAGCCATAATAGATTAAGACTTGTTCATCTTACCTTCGTGTTTTAAAAAACATGGAAGGGGGAGTGGTTAGAATAACTATAGTAGGCTAGTTTGTTCATTTTAGTCTTGGAATTTGTTTTTGTCAGTGTGTCTAGGATACAATCTGAGACACTATTTTCTAATAGAACTTGGAGAGTCAATGCCAAGGCCTGCTGAAGTTCTGTGCCACATGGTGGCCCGGCACCTCAGACTCTTTATGTTGGGTTATCCTGTAGTTTGTCACCTGTCTGTATGTGAAATAACTGAATTCTCCAGAACAAATACTAAAATGGACCTTTAAAATCCATTTTCATTCACTAGTCTGCTGATTATTTTGTGAATCAGTGTACTATTTGTCTACCAAGAGCACTCACTGCATGGGCCCCCCCAAACAGCTCCTAGACTTTGAGGAGAGAGCCTGTTTATTAGGGGGTTTGCAGTTTAGCTTAGAGTAGGGAACAGTCCGCCCCAGAGTGTCTCCCAGGGTCCCCTGCAGTTACACCCTAACTGCCAGAGATAGGGCGGCATGTCATCATCCTCCAATTTATTGATTTAAAAAAGAAGCAGAGGATGCTGCAGTTGAGGAGAAAATGCTCATGACTTTATAGCTTAATATTAATCTAACAATTAATGCATTAGTAGTTTGCCGATTCATGAGTATATGCATTCCACTTAATGAAAATAGGTGCAATGATAATGATCATCTTGATATTTGGCAAATAAATAGACTAACATATATATTTTCTGTGTTGTCACTGTCTATATTTTTAAAGGTTGTTAGGCTTGTTGGTGGTGGATGACAGGTGTGACTTATAAGACTCACAAAGTAGCAATATTGTTATATGGATAGGTCATTGCCAATAATAACAGCATTTATGACTACTACGCTCTGTGCCACAACCATCAGCCCTACAATAATGTAATAAATAAAGTAATGCATAAACAACAAAATATAACCAGCAGCAACACTGTTCCCTGTTCAACGAAAGTTGAATATGGGGACAGTTTACAAATTGATTTGTTTCTAATATGTACTGGTAAACATTGGAGATTCACATGCAGATAACACCAGCAACATTTGTATATAAATGTATACAAGTACATATAAGTGCAGAGAATAATCTTAAAGATGAATGGAGGAGTGCTAGAACAGTGTAAGTAATGTAAACAATTTTCTAATAAAATATTAACAGCTTGTAATGTTAACCTGTGAGATGTGCGTGGTAGCCTCGGCCCCAGGTGTCTAGTTTAAACTAAGATGAATTAAGAACAGGCTGGTATATTGCTCCTGTGGATGCATGTCATTTTGTCTAATGCTGAGAAGACTTATGCAGTGACTGATATGTAGCATTTTTTTCCCTGTTTAAAAGAACAGTTTTAAGTGTGTTTCAAATTCTAAATAACTAACCGTGTCAGTCAGTGAACCCCCCCCCCCCCCCAAACACCATCAGACAACCTCCAGGCTTCATGGTGAGAACCACACATGCAGATGCCATCCATTAACCCTCAATGCATGTCGCAAAGACGCTGCAGTTAGAACTAAGAATCTCAACATTGGATATCTGCAGTGTTTCCTACAGAATTAGTCTGAGTGTGGTTGTAGTTGGAGGTGGCAGCCTGGGAATGAGATGCTTTGCCAAAGCAATGTCGCATAACAAAACCAAAGATCTTTTGTGTTATTTATGAATCTGTGTCGGGACAGATTAAGACTATGGCGGGCCACCACAGTCTAGGTAATTACTGGGAAACACCGTATCTGACCAAAGCACTGATTTCCACTGGTCTAATGTTGATTCCTTCAATTGGTCTAAAGTCGATTCCTTCTCTTTCTTGCTACAAGCATTTCTCTTCTTCTTACTGGTCTTCTTCAGTAATGGCTTCCTAGCAGCAATTTGACCATGGAGTCCTGATTCATGCAGTCTTCTCCGAACAGTGGATGTTGATAGGTGTCCAGTACTTGAACTTTGGGAAGCACTGATGTGGGCTCTGATCTGAGGCGCTGTTAATTGCCCATTTCTGAGGCTAGTAGCTCTAATGAACTCATCCTCTGCAGCAGAGGTAACTCTGGGTCTTCCTTTCCTGGGACGGTCCTCATGAGAGCCAGTTTCATCATAGCGTTTAATGGTTTTTGCGACTGCACTTGGAGAAACATTCAAAGTTTTTGAAATTTTCCGGATTGACTGACCTTCACGTCTTAAAGTAATAATAGACTGCCTTTTCTCTTTACTTAGTTGAGTTGATCTTGCCATGATATGGGTTAATACAGTAGAATCTGTAAAGCAGAAAATAACAGAAACAAAAACTTTAAATGTATGAATTCTGCTCTGAAGATTTTCCAGCCAGCTACAACATTTTATAACAAACATTACTATCAACAGCAGGCTACAAAAATATGTAGTAACTTTCTAAATTCAATTATAGACCTTTGAAAGCGTTAAAATTGTTTGTTTTATTCTGAAGAGACTGAAATCAATGCTTTTGAAGAGACCTGCAGATAGAAATGCCCGCATTCACAGAGAAAGGTCCTGTTTAAAGGATTTTACATGTGAAAGCCACACAACAAATTCACTGAAAGTCGCAACGTGTCCTGGAGAAAAGCCTGTCGCAAAGTAAAAGAAAGGCTGAGCTGTCATCACGTAACATTTCCATCATCTTAGGTCCAGGACGAATGCTGTTAGTAGGTGGCTAACGTTTCACGGGATACAGACGCATTACTTTTTCAGATGTTTGTGTTGAAACGGGTGCTGCCCAGCGTCACCACCATACAGTACCTCTTGTGGTTAGCATTAGCAAGCTGCCTCCTTCAGCTAACTAGCCGGTGGCTAGCCCCCGCTAGCACCCTGCTGTTTCTTAATGCAACAAGATGTATTTTAACAAAATCCCAACACTTATCCCCGGAGTGAAGCTCTGATTGTCAGTCAGCGTTAATGTTACTTACTGCTGTGGGGTTTGTCTTGTGTATGAGCAGGCTTCCCCTCCGTGTGACAGCCACGGACAGGTGCCAACTGGAGGAGGAAGGTGGTGGTGTGGTCTTAGAGGACGAGGGGTTAAGTAAGGGTCATTAATGAAGCTGGATGTCCCAACCAAGGAAAAAAAAGACTTTAGATTATGTTATTAGATGTTATATTTAAGAGTCTGTTTTCAGAAACTAGATTTTAAACCTTTGAAGCCTTTGTTATTCTTCCTTATGGCTGATTACTGCAGATCAAAGCTTACCTAAAAGACACTATGTGAATAATACTGATAACTGATACCATATCTGTTGGTATGTTGCTCTTACTTGCCATTTCATTATTGGTTAGTCAGCTGATTATTTCCTGGATGAATCAATTATTCACTTGTAATTAATAAGCTCATCTGTTTCGAAGTTCATGGTGTTTTTATCAAATCTCTTATTTTGTCACACCAGTTGTCCAAAACACCAAGGATTTTACATCTACAACAGAGAAAAGCAGAAAATACCCACCAGAGTAGTCAGAACCAGTAAATATACCAGCTAATAATTTTCTATCAATTTCTTTATTGAATAAGTGATTGTTCTGTCACTGCTCTTAAGTTCAAGAAAGAACTCTGAAGCTACTTAATGACACATCCATCCAACACATGATCAAAAATCACTGCACCTTCCTTCCCTCCTGTGTAAATTTACTCTTTACGTGTAGTTTTCTATTTTATTTGTGTATCTTCATATAGAGTAGCTCCAACTCTGAGCTTCCAAATGATGGCTGCTTTCAAGATCTCAACTTGCCTCCAAAAAATAAGGTGCAACACAATCCTGCTCACATGACACTTTATGAAACAACTGGCACTGTAGGTTGTTCACATTTTCTAGTTGTTGGGTTTGTAACAAACTACATCTGTGACAGAAATGCATTCAGTCATTGGACTGCAGCTAAACAAACCACAATCCCAAATTTAAATATTATGCTTCATTTGGACAAGTATGAAATACTATATTTTAATACAATAAAATACATCCACATATGTAACTTAGACATTACATGAACATAATACTCCAGTCCTGAGTAGTAAGGCACTACTCCAGATTTGAAGTTTATACAAGTCATTTCTTGGACTGATGCTACTTAGTGTAGTTTGATGAATGGATGAAGCCGCCCTCTCTACGTTCTTCTAGGGCTCACAGTTTAACTTGGCCTACAAAAAAACTTGATTAAAGTGGGAGCACTGTGCACCATTTTGTCATTACAGTATCCACAACTATGGGCATAATTACAGTATATTTGGGTTCCAACATACTTACATCAATAATGGATTATTGATGTGCATGTAAAGATAGTCATGATCAAATCATTACTTGTCTGTGTCAGTGGTAAGACTATGCCAGTATTCACTTTTTACCTTTATATTACTTTTACAAATCCTTCAGGCCAGAGAGGCTAAAAAGAAAAACATGAACTGCAATTGTTTGGAGGGAAATAAAAGGGAGAAACGGAAATATAAAGTGCCAGGCCCTGTTTTTCCCCGTGTGTTCCATGTTCATGTTCATCCAAAAAGTCAGTATGTTGTTAGTCTTTAGTGAAGCAGCAGTTTCAAGGTAACTAGCAGCATCATTTCCTGCTCCCTGTTGCTGACTTTCGGCCAAGCTCCCTGGCTCTCTCAGTGGCAGATTCCACAGCGCTCATGGTTGATGCCCTCACGCCGCCCTGTTCCAGGGTGTGCAGTCCGTAGATGGTTGTTCCACCTGGGGTGCAGACCTCAGAGCGAAGCTGAGCCGGATGCTTCCCAGAGTCACGTAACAATCTCCCAGCACCCTGAAACGCAATCACATATAATGAGGGAGATGCTGGTATCAGGGTTGAGTTACCACTTTTTTTTTTTTTTTAAATATGCATTTACTTATTGCGTCAAGCTTGAAAAAAAGCATTTTTACTCTCCATAAAACACTATCAATAGCTGCAATCTTTAGCAGGGCGCTGAAAAACCCCAGAGACTGATTTTACAGGCTATGGCTCAAAGCATACTTCACACAATTATACAAGACGCAAGTGACAGCGCCTGGCCTAGCATGCATCTCCTGTGAACAGAGTCAATGTGCACTTGAACAGACCAGTTGAGATGACCAAGCTCGGTGCACAAGGTGAAGCTCAGAACATTAACTTGTTAGAGACCCCTGAGTTAGAGCTTCCTTGAAGGATTAGCTACAGTTGTTCTGAGCATACGTTAGCCTAAACACAAGGGCTCAGCTTCCTCTTGTCTCAGTCTACAGTGCCAATTAGCAGCAATGTTCAGGCTGTACCTCACGACTACTTCGCGTTAGGATTTTCTGGTGACACGCGAGAAAACAACAACGTGTTTGTGTACGGCCGTGAAGTATATTTCAAGTCTAAGGAAATTGATGATGTTGCTAAAGTGAAAAACACACACAAACACAGTAGTAGTGGCGTTTTAGTGGTAACAGTAATACTGACCAGGATGGTCTGAGATGCAATGCTGTGGGCCAGAGCACTTGGCATGCCCATTTTAACAGCTCCTTCCGCCAGAGCTTCAGCAAACAGATAGACCTGCATGGAAGAATCACAAGCATAATAATAATAATAATAATAATAATAAGGTGAACAAAGGCCAGTTTTTTTTCTGCTGCTTGGCACAAAATATAGTGGCTTCAGCCCGCTTCACACTGAATGAATGTCGACTGATGGCAAACATGGAAGTTTTATCCACAACAACACGACGTACAAGACGTGAAGGGGCCTAATTACATTATGAAGCCACTGTATCTTCAACCAGAATATTGTCATTACCTTCCACATAGCCATTGTTTGTCTTGATTTCTTTTTTAAATTTCTGAAACTAGAAACTTTGTCTAAATAGATAATTTATCATTGTTAGGGCCACGAGTCTAAGCTGCATGCCATTCCAAATCTTTAGTTCCCCTCATTCCCTGCCATTTCACTACTGGCAGTTTTCTAACTAAGTATAAAATGCTGAGAAACAGCATGTTTATACGTTCTGTGTTTTTTGGTTAGCTGATGTTGACTAGGTCTGTATTTCCACAGTGAAACAATAGTCAGTGCGGTGAGCTCTCCCTAAAAGTGTATAAAACTACAGAATGCTTTAAGAAATGGTTGGCCGAAAAGTAAATGAGCTTTCTGCAAACCATACAGTCCTAGAACACTCACAAAGGCAACTCCACTCCCGCTCAGTCCGGTGTGGATGTCAATCCAGGCCTCAGGTCCCTCCTCCACCAAACCACAGCGATGCAACAAAGAGCGAAGCAGAGCTCCATCCTCCTGCTTTGCATGGGATCCCCGTGCAAACAGGAGAGCCCCTTCCTGAACCACACATGGCAGGTTGGGCATCAGCCTGATGGCAACCGAGTTCTCTGGAAGAAGCTTACAGTTCAAAAGACAGAGAAAATGTGATTCCTCATCACCGAGCTGGCTTCTGATTTAAAGACCATTACACTGTGACTATGGCACTCACTTCTTCTAACGTTGCCAGTTGTACTCCTGCTGCAACAGACACAATTATGTGTCTGTCAGTGACGTGTTGTGAGATCTCATTGAGAACTAATGGAACCAAGTGAGGCTTGACGGCCACAAAGACCACGTCTGAACCACAGACCACCTCTGGATTGGAGTGAGTTACAGCAATCCCCAGCTCCTGAAAGAAAGCGGAAGGGATATTAATGACCTCTATGTACACCAACACGTAGAAAGGCTCGCACACAGTGAACCCACACGTGCGCAATAAACAGTTAACTGTGCTTTGATTGACAGAAAAAAGAAAAGGCAGCACACAGAGCCCAACAGGTGATGAATCTTCTGCAGACATTTTGGGCATACATTAACTATTTCACAGTGATGTCAGGGAGTAAACTGTGCACTGTATTCTGGGAATAACAGTGCGAGACCCCTGTCAATCCCAGAATGCAACACACTGTTTACTCACAGATGACACTATGAAACACAGCAATTTTCCTTATCGTCTTAATTAGCAATAGTAATAACGATGAGTATAAGATACCAAAGCTCGGATCCTTATTTAAGTCAAAGCTGGTGTGTCAGCACCTGGGTCAAATGAAGGGAAATACCACATGACTGGTGATGGCTGAAGCTTCGTACATGACTGGTGTTCCATACAGAACTTCACTGTTCTGTGGCTAAAAGTAATACTTGGAGGGATATTAATAAAGAGTGCAACTGAGAAATACAGTGAAGTACACTAGAAAGACAGTCATGGGAACATTTCCCCCTGACACCAAGTAATGAGGTGAGACTGACCAATGGGGCTAAAAAACACATGAGCCCACTACAGTGGACACTGGGCCTAACCTACCGTATTTTCCGCACTATAAGGCGCACCTAAAAGCCTTAAATTTTCTCAAAAATCGGCCGTGCGCCTAATAATCCGGTGTGCCTTATGTGTGCACTGAGTTCCAAAATCTGTAAAAATGTTGTTCATGTTCATGAATTCAAAATCAACGAATCTATGGTTCGGAAGTGGAGGAAGCAAGAAAATGAACTGCGCCAAGTTAAAAAGACGAAACAGAGTTTCCGCGGGAACAAAGCTAGGTGGCCACAGTTAGAAGACGAACTTGAACGATGGATTATTGAACAAAGAACAGCCGGGAGAAGCGTCTCTACAGTCACCATTCGACTGAAGGCAAAAACGATAGCACAAAACATGAAGATCGAACACTTTCAAGGAGGTCCGTATTGGTGCTTTCGTTTTATGAAAAGGTGTCATCTCTCCATCCGCGCAAGGACTATCGTGGCGCAGCAACTGCCAGCGGATTACAAAAAAAAAGCTGGCCATCTTCCGCACCTACTGCAGTAACAAGCTTACCGACAAAAAGATCCAGCCCGACCACATCACCAACATGGACGAGGTCCCCCTCACTTTTGACATCCCCGTGAACCATACTGTGGAGAAAAAGGGGACCAGCACTGTATCGATACGCACCACGGGGCATGAGAAGTCAGCTTTCACTGTTGTTCTTGGTTGCCACGGTAATGGTCATTTTTAAGAGGAAGACGCTGCCAAAAGAAATGTTTCCAGCCGGAGTCATCATCGTTAAGGTCAATCAAAAGGGCTGGATGGACGAGGAGAAAATGA